TATAACCAAAACTGATAAATCATTGCATTCTATTTGAAACATTTTCAGCGAGAAAAAAAAACATTCAGAAAGTTCGTTTATTTGTAGCTTTCTCAAAAAATTATAGTAATAGAAAAAAAGAAGGGAAAAAAAATTTTATCATAATTGATTGATTGATTACAAATAATGCAATTTGTAATGGATCCATCGTGATCGTAAAAACTCAATCATATTTTTTTAAACGACAGATTAGTTGATCTTTAAGTAATAAATTTAAAAAAGTAAATTCGTTGAAATTTCTAATTTTTTTTCTTCTCTTTGCATTAAAAATTAAAAGTCTAATGAATTTTTTAACTCGAAATAACAAAATAAATGATAATTATCATCCTTATTGCTATAGCAAAAGGATAAATTGCTTGCCATTTTTTCTCTTACAACAAAATTTATAGCTTAATGAATAAAACAATATGAACAGATGATAATTGTCATTCTTATTGTTGCGGCAAGCAAAAGGATAAATTAAACATTGTTTATCTAAAAAAATTTCTTTTTCAAAAAAAATTTATAGCAATCAAAAAAGATAAATGGTCCCGATATGATCCTTTTTTTTTCTCTTTCATTTAAATCCAATCATTCATTTCCTTTCCCAGAGAGTTAAATTTGCAAAAGTTCTAATTAGTTTGCAGTAAAAGAGAGAGAGAGAGAAAAAAACTTTAGTCGAAAGAAAAAAATCGCTTCTCATGAGAAAGTCTCATATATATATGTGTGTACTCATCATTTCCTATTGTAAAGAACTTTAAGTAGGATGCAATTGTATCGAAAATTTGATAAACTATCGGTAATTATAATTTTGGAATAATCATAATTATGATGAAAGGTCAACAATGCAAATAATTATAATTTTGATAAAGCAATGATCGAAATAAGCGATAATTTTGTTAGAATATAATCATAATTTGAAAGAAAGTAATCATGATACATTAAAACAGTCATAAGACTATGGCATTAACTATAGTAAAACAATAATAAAAGTAATTGTAATTTTAGTAAAATAACGATAAAAATAATCATCGTTTTAATATTAATATAATATTAGACATTTCGTTCAGCAGCAATTATGCCAATCTTTCTATTTCCGACAATGAATGTGAATTTTTTTTTTTTTTTTACAAAATTCAATAAATTTTATACAAGAAAAATGAAGCGGAACCATCTCGGATATCCTTTTAATTTAGTCGTCAAAAAATTTTGAAAAAATTTGAAATGCCCTTTTTATGATTTCCTCGACTTTTTTCTTTTTTCACTATGAATTTTAACTAAGAATTGGAATAAATTTCGTACCGTATGATTTTTTTGCTCGTTCTACTTTTTATTGATAATCTATAATTTTGTAGTAAAATTTAGAGATAAAGCCAATGCAAATCTTTTTTTTTTTTTTTTTGAAGAAATAAAATGCGATAATTTCTTGTGCAGTTCACTTTTTATTATTCAATATTGAATTTTTCAAAGGAAGCATGGGAAAAAAACTTCCATTTTATTTTAAATAAAATCTTCATTTCAAAAAAAAAAACTTATTTAATCCTAAATAAAATATTTATGCATTAAAGTAAAATAAATGAAATTAGTAAATATCAGGATAAAATAAAAAATCAGAAAGGGAACGAACTAAAAAAAAAACTTAAAATATTATAAATTAATATATGAAGAACTATTTTTTAACATTGAAACTGCAAATACTATTGTTTTTTTTTTTTATTTCGTTTTCTCCATCATCAATTGGCTAATGTTAGCAAATCCATCTATCAAATGATATTCAAGTGTTTAAGTAAATAAAAAGATTTTCTACATGTAGGCGGCTTAAATGTTTGCTTTACTTTACGTTCTTAAAATAACGTTCCATTTCAATGCTTTATTTATGTACTTTATAAGTTGACAATTTTTATTAGTAAAATTGAAATTATTTTCATTTATTTTATTTCCAATGTTTTATTTATATATTTTTCAAATTTTAGAATTTTTGTTTTTGCTCACTTAAAACTGTTTACACTAAGTTGTTATTTTCTCATCAAAACGATCAACTTTTATGCTTACATAAAAAATATTTTTAATTTTTTTCTAATTGCAATTAATTTAAAATTTAATAAATGAAAAAGAGATTACAAGTGATGGTACTGATGTTGGCGTAATTTTTTGCTGTATTGGCATATCCGATCGCTCTTTTGTACTCTGTAAATGTCAATCATTTAAATTATATAAATGAAATATTCCATTTTCTTTTTACTTTGTTTGATGAAAGCAATAACTCCATAATGCAAAGTCAATAGAATGATGAAAATATTACATCTTTTAAATTAATTAAACCTTATGGCACAAAACTGGAATTTAAAATATCCAATTTAATTGGATATTTATGAAAGAATTTGAAAATGTTTATTTAAAAACCTATTTAACATTGTGATTAAATGATTGCAAGATGGCTCATTAAACAGTTTGGGTAGTTCGAAAATCATTTCTGGGCCAAAAACTTCGTAACAAACAAAGAAAAAGTGCAGTAATGAATATTGAAATTTCAAAATATGCAAAAAAATTTACAACTACAAAAGTAACTCCATTTTTTAAAAATCTGAAAATTTCAAGACTTATCAAGGTTTAAAAGTTGAGAAGCTATCTAAGGTGTTGCTTAGCAGTAAATTACATTGAAAAATTCAAATTTCAAATTTTCAAATTTTGATGACTTTGGAAGGAGCGGAAAATGCGCCAAAGAGCGGTGGTGATAATATCATACGATAAGCATAAAATAAGCTCAAAATAATAAAGGAAAGCAATGAAAAGAGCATTTTATGTCTGATCAGGTAAGGGATAGGCAGAAGAAACTTGGAAGGGAAACAATTTTACTGATAAGGTGATAAAATGAGAAATTCGATAGGGAATTTTATTTGCATATCAGAGAGATAAGCTTTTTTGCCCTCTCAATGTCACATTTACTAAACGAATAAGGCAGGGAATGAATAATACAATCAATGTCTAAACTATGAAAAATTTTCAATTTCATACATGACCAATTAGGGAGATATTTTAAATTCTAAACTATCAAATTAAAAAAGGAAAAAATATTGAGATTTATAGGTTATGAAATTATTTGCTGTAATAAATTATTCATTCGTTATAGATTTAATAGCAAATTTTTAACATTCATATTTTTTAAAATCATATTTTTTAAAAAATGGTTAATTATTAAAATTAATTGATTAAAATTTTTTATTGTGTAGCACATAATACATTTAGCTTTATATATGAATTAAGTCATATTCATATTCACGGCACTTTCATTCTGTTACCTTTTTAATGGAAAAAATTTTGATTCCTTTTGAAAATTTTAAAGATACAATTGTAATAAGTAAATTTCGAAAATGCTTCATTTTTTTAACCAAATTAAAATTTTCAGTTTATTGTCAAAAAAGGCATAAGGAACTGAAATATAATTGAAATGAAACAAATGATAACCTGATAATAGCGTGTTCGTCGCAAATATATCATTGTCAACGAGATAAAAATGATAGTTGTGAAGCGTTTTTGTGATTTTAATAATAATTTGAAACAATTCAAATAGTAGATAGAGAGAGAGAGAGAGAGAGAGAGGGAGAGAGAGGGAGGAAGAATGGAAAGAAAAGTTTATATATGGGGAATTAGATCGTCTTTATGTGTAAAATGTGATTTGTAACAGAGAAAAAAAAACTAAAAAAATTAGTTATTGATTGGGAGGAGTTATGAATTCTATTCTTTTTGTATATCAAAAAATGATTTCAAAAAATTATTTCACATATTTATCATTTTATTGTTATTATTCATCGTTGACGATTGGATTAATATTTTCAATGTCATTGGAAAATTTGTGAAACATCAAAAATTGAGGAAATTAAATCCTGTCGAAATATTTTTTCGCCAATTTTTTATCAGAATAGAATAAACTAATTTGAAATTAGATGCATGTAAACTATTGATTGAGGTTGGCTAATCAATTAATAAACATGGACTGATTAAATGGATATAACTGAATTAATTACATGTAATTAAATGCTAAACTATAGATTTCAACAATGAGGGTGAAAAAAAATTTCAGACAATATTACAGTAAATTTGTTTCTGAATAAAATTGTTTTTGAATTAAATAATTATTTTGAACAAGGAATCTCGAAATATTCGAGCCAATACAAATAATCTGATTAATCACTACATTCTAATTAAATATTTAATTTAATAGAAGCTTTACGGGTGCCACATTTTAGATTTAATATTTAGCTCTCATTAGACATTCGTTGGATAATAAATTTCTCTCCAACATTTTATTTTTTCGAAACAATTTTAGTAAACATGAAAAAAAAAAGATAAGCCATTCTTTAACACACCATTATATCGTAAAAATTTATGGCCCATTTTTATTTCAAATAAAATTTTTCGCATTTTTTTCTTTCGTTTTTTGCATTAGAAAATGAGAATAGAAAATGGAAATAAAATTGAAGTGCTTGGGAAATTTTTCATTAAAATTTCATTGCTTATCACTTGATTTGATATGAATGATATAATATGGGATTGTATTGATTGAAATAGATAGTTTAAAATAATCAAAACAAAAAATGCCAAGAAAATACAACACTACCAATTCTTGTATATTAAATTTTCAACTATTAAGTTATCTAGTAAATTTGTGCAGAATATGAGCTTATGATAGAAAATATTTCATTATTACCATTTATGTGATTAAATACTTCGTATTTGAATAATATAATTAAGAATTATCACTTTAGTAAATTTTACGTTATACTTTAAATTTTCGATATGAATAATGAGGATATATGTCACAAAACAAAAATTATTAAGTAATAATTTACATTCTACTTTGGCGTACGAGTAGTATGAATGTTAGTAATCTGACGTTATCTCTCTTTGTTCTGGCTAACGAGACTAAGTTATAGAAATATCTCTTTTCAATTAACTTAAACTTTGGAATAAATTTAATGAATTTAGAAATAAACTTCTTTTTCCGTGCTTTCATCATGACGAGTTGATTTTATAATTGCCCACATTGGCGAATGTTGACGAACATTTTCTTTTTGCTAAAATAATTTTAATTAATAATGGAACTAAAAAAAAAATGTCAGTTAATTAGCAAGTCAATGACGGGATTGCTTCTCTTTTTAATATTAATTTAACAATCAAGCAGCTAATGAATTAAATAAACAATCGATTAAGCAATAACTGGTAATTACGAAATTGTAGTTACTTTTTTGGGCAAAAAAAGTATAAAAGTAGAGATAGAAAATTCTCACAGCAACTTCTTCATCAAGTTCACGTGTTTTTTCCAATGTTGAAGCAATGGAATGTGATGCATTTTGACGTTTCGTATCCCATATTTCGGAAGCTAACATTCGTCCTTCCTGATCCTGTTTTACGAGAATTGTTGAGGATGGAATGGAACCAACAGTATCAGTTTTTGATTTCTCGTCATAATTTGCAACATCACGATTTCGTAATTCCGTACTGCTCCATAATTTATGAGTTCCTGTTGTTGCCGGAGGTGTTATAGTAGCAGGCGGAAAATGCTTTATATCATATTGCCAAACACCTTTTGAAGTGGATGACCACACTTCCGTTTTCATCTCCTCGATCCATTCATGTCGATGAGGCATCGAATCTTGCGGAAGCTGAAGAAAAAAAAGCATTCCTAACTTCGTGTATTGTTTGGTTTGATGAATTTTTTGGGATATTATATAGATAGAATTAGCCAAAATTTTTATTGTCATATTAGCCAAGAGTTTTGATCAATGAGGAATGGAACCACTTTTTTTTTTTTGGTCATTATTAGTAATTTGTAATTCTTCTTTCTAAATAGTTAAATTTTGTTTTTTTTAATTAATTCGATTTCTAAATTTCTTTTAAAAAATTTTAATAATTTAATTGAAATCTTTTCAAAATTTTTATAAACTATCAAAAAACAAAACATACCTTTTCAGGCTTTTGTTCGTAAAATGAAAGCGCATTTGGTTTTTCACCTGTTCGACGGCTAATTTTTTGTGAATCATACTCGCAAATGGTGATCTGAAAATTTACCTAGCTGTTCGAATTGATCATGCTATCATTATTTTTATACCAATAAATAACGGAAAGTTTAAAAAAAAAGTTCCCAATTTTTTTTAAAATTTTCAAAATTACTATTATTTTGAAATTTAAAGATAATTCAAATTTATCGCTAAGTTAAAAATGAAACAATTCGCTTTGGTAGTTGTTCGAATTTTCGATAAGTCTCTAGCAAAAACAGTATTTATGTGTTTGTTCAGTTCAAGCCTTTTTGAAATTTAATGTCAATCAATTTTTTTTTTTAAATTATCAATTAGACGATAACAATGTTGATGGAAATTGACAAGAAGAATGATGAAAATATCAAAATATATGATATGTTAAAGAACAAATTCTAAACAGTAAACAAGAAACTAATGAATGAGAAATAGTAATTAACAGTTTTGAAAAAAATTGATTTACATAATTCAATGAGATATTTGTTACTTACCTGTTCCTTTTGTTGTACAGGTGAAAAGAATCGTGCCTCAGGTGACGATGTATCCACGCAGCTTTCTTCTCGTTTCTGCAAAATAATAAGCGAAATTTGCATTGCTTTAATTCAGAAAATTCAGGCAGTTTTTGTTTTCTTTGTGTAATTGAATCAAAAACTTTTTAAATAATAAGATAATGAATAAATAAAGCAAATTAAACTTCTTTTCACGAAAAATTTCAGTAATTTTTTGGATTACTTATGTAGTTGCTAGAAATTTTCAGCTAAAATTGTTTTTTGTTTAAAATTAGCATAAAATAAATTTCATCATTTTCAAAACATCGCTAGCAAATTCATTTCAATTGATTGATATTATTGCAACTCTCAATCAAAATTAAAATTTATTTTTGCAATAAATATAAATATTCGTGGAGTAAAAAAAGATATTTGATTTTGATTTTTTTTTTATCAAAATAAATTTGTTTTTCAGAAAGGTGCAAAAATCTTGTCCTTCATTTTTTCAAAAAAAAAAAGAAGACAACTGAACAATTTTTTTACTATTTTGATAATACTCTCATGATAATTATCATTGGAAAGAAACAGCAATTATGTTTCACTTAAGAAAATAACGATGGAAAAAATGAATAATTCTTTTCTCATAATTCTCCTTTTCTTTGAAATTAATTATAATTTATTGTTTTCGAAAAAAAGAAAACAAATGATTCATTTTTATTTCTTCCTTTACTCGTTCTCGAACTTCAATTTATTTCCTTCCTTCTCTTCTTCATTCATCTCAATTTTAGCAATTAATTCGCATTGTCAATTTTTCCATTAATTATTAAATTTTACTCTATCTATTTTAAATACTTTGATTTTTATTACTGATTAACATATTGCTCGCTTGTACCTATTTTCAAATTAAGTGAAGTTTAATTTGATAAAAAGTCATTATTTCAATGAATTGAAAGAAGTTCTATTTATGAATTAGGCAGCTTAATTGAATGGATAAATAACTGAAAAAAAAATGGACAAATTTTTAGGAATTATTTATACATTGAATTTTAGCAACACGAAGAAAATTTTGTAATGTTAAAAAATAGCAACATTGATTGATTTACTTTTTCAGCATCTGTCAATTTTTGTTTTGCTCCTTTGCGTTCCACGCTAAATTTTACGTGTATGATTAAAGCTCGTTTTGTGTGATTTCTTTTTAATTATAACTTACATTTTCAAAGCTGTATTGTGAGAATGAACCATCTTTTGGCTCATTCCTGGACAGCTTACTGTCATCGATAACTTCATAATCAATCTTTTTATATTTTCCACCGGCTGGCGTCGTCTTAAATTCAACTGTCGGCAACAGCTGAGACAATTCTTTTGGCTTTGGACCACCCTGAAATTTAGTGAAATTTAAGATTTTATCCAAATAATTTTTGTAAATCAATCTGGTACTTAATGCAGACAACTTTCTTAAATGTGGAAAATTTTTTGAAATTTGAAAAAAGTTTAAAAACGCGCAGTTAAATGTTATTCCTGTAAACTTTTGTTTCTAGTATGAAAATTGAGAAAATTTTATGAATGAAAACTCTTGGCGTTTTTTAGTAAAATTATTAGAGTATTTTGATTCAGTTTTTTCAGAATGAAAAAACATAGCAAAAATTTAGATCTTTATTTCTAATATAAACAAAATCGGTGGTTTTGGTGATTTTTGAAAAATAGAATTATTGGAAATGATATTTGAGAAGAATTTAAATAACATGACAGAATATTTTGCGCATATGCATCATAATTTTATAATTTTATGAGAAAAGCAAATTTTATGACAAATAAGCTAATTATGACTTCGTTCATTATGTCAAAAAAAAAGTAATAACACTATTAATAGAGTAGTATTACAACATCAAAATCGCTTCTTATTTATTTTTAGCGCATTTTTTATTGGTAGTGTAATTATACGATAGCTAGTGGATAAGCATTAATCAAATTTTTGAAAAATATCTTAAAATATAAATTGTTTAATCATTTGTTCCAATTTGTGCGATGGCTAACTTTGCAAAAGTAACAAAAAAAAAGTAAAAGTAAATGAAAAGGTCAATAATTATGTTTTATTGGAAAACAATTCTTGCGTTCTTGTTAGACAACATAGTAAGCTAAAAAAATTCAATAATTTTTTAAAGGTATTAAATGCGATTTTGAATACGATATTATTTATTATTCCAAAACCAATTAAATTATCGACTTGTTATTTAAGATTATCAATTGTTTTATTAATTAGTTGAATAGACAGTACAACAGAATACTATAAAACACAAAATAGTTGTCTAGCAAAAGAAAAAAATTTAATAATGCTAATTAGTAAGGACGATAGCATACCTTTGGACTCCATTTATTGCCGCTAATTGGTCGAGAAGTGAGCTCATCGACCGATTGCTTATTGGTATTCATTTCAAACTGTTGCGCTAACGTTGTGACAATGCCCGACTTTGTCGATGTTTCGGTATGCGGAATGATTGGTGAATTAGCCGACGAAACAGGTGACGTACGTGGCTACAAACAAGTATAAATCCAATATAAAATTTTAAAAAAAAGCAAAATTTAATAAAACCATCGTTTATTTTTATATTATTTTATTTTCTTTCTTTCTTTTTTCTCCAAGTTTTTGTTTTTTAATCTCAAATAAATACTTCTATTTCTGTTTTTGTCTTTTTCTCTTTCTTAGAAAAGAAAAAAACTACCATTGTAAAAAGAGAAAAGTAGAAAAAATTGTAGCAAAAATAATAAAAAAAAGCAGAAAATTTTTAGACTAGTAAAAAGATTTGAATTAAATTACGGCTTTTAAATTGCAATGAATTAATAAATATTTTCTGTTCCGCTTTTTTCCCCTTTTAAAATAGAAAAACTAAAAGGAACAAATTTTTAATGTACCTAACAGTGGAACAAGGTAAAAATTAAACAAAAAAAATTACATTGAAGTTTACGAAAAAATCGAAGACACCTTCCCGTTTTTTTTTTCTTCTGCAGTAAACAAATTGAAGTGGCAAAAAAAATTTAGTCCAAAAAAACAAATCAATATTTGATGTTAATTAAGTATTTTTGTGTATTGTACAATTAATTCTTATATTAATCGTTGTAATTATTGCTTTAGAAAAGTAAACTTCCATTACAGATTTTATGCAAACAATAATTCGTACTTATTTTTTCGTCTTCTTCAACAAATGAAAATAAATAATACCAACGATAATTAATTATAATCATAATGAACAATAACAATAATGATAATGAATTTTTCAATAAAAACCAGCAATTATTCATAAAAATTCAATTTTTTTTCTATTTCATGGATATTTCATTGGAATATTGAAAATGATCGTGCGATATTCTAAGATTTTAAGGAAATTATTAAATTTTATAAAGAAAATATGTAATAGTTTGAAGCTGAAACTTACTGATTTCCAATTTATAAATGATGAAAGGATAAAAAAGAAATTTCAAAAATGTTCTTTGTGTTTGAAAAGAGATTGCCAGAATATAAATTAGCTTAAATAATTTAATCTGTTTTATTTTAAATTGTCACATTTTATTGCATGGATCAAAGTTCGACAGGAATTTTTGGAATTTAATTTATTTGCAGTGAACAAAAATTAACGCCAAATTATACAGCAATTTAATGCAATCATTTGAATTGCTAAGCAAATATACAAGTATATTCAAATAAATGAACTAATATACTATTGTATATATTTATTCAAACACTACTCAAAATTTAAAAAATGACCATAAAAGTAATTATTTAGCATAGTTCGCGCATTTATTATAATTTAAGACTTAAATTAATCGATAATAATTAAAGCCTACAAAATTAATTCACCCCTCTGCAACCGAGATAAAACTTTTGGTAGTTAAATTTTGTAAATTCTGCATGCTTTTTTAGCGAAGTAAAAATTTTTTGGATAAAATATACAAATCGAATTATTTGAATCTTTGAATAGATCCCAATTAACTGCAATTATTTCAACCAATGAAAAAATTTAAAATGAGGTTATTGATTTGAGTATTAAAATTTATATGAAAAAGAGAAAAATGAAGAATGAGAAGAATAGAATATTGCTTTTTTCTAAAGTGAATTTCAATGATTTCTAAATAAATATTTACTTTTTTTTCACTTTTATGATCAAACAAATGTAATCGAATATATTTTTTCCGTTTATTTTAAAATTTGTTTTTTTTTCAGGATTTTTTGGCTCGTTTTGCTCGTAAGTTAAAATATTTTCAAGCAGCCTAAAGTCAAAATTTATCAGTTTAAAAATTCTCGCTTTCAAAAATTTATTCCATTGATTAATTTTCATTCTTTCCTTTTTTTCTGCTATGGAAATTAATATAATTGTGTAATTCGAGAATATGCAAATAATGTTAGAATAGTTAGTGTTTGGTAACAATTCCTCGCACATATTGTTACTTATTGCTTTATGTAAATAACTGTGCATTAATCAATTTCAAATTTTATCAGTGAGCTATTTATTCCTATTGAAATTTATCAGTGAGTTATTTATTCCAATTGAAAATCGCTTAAAATCAGTGATTGTTAAAAATTCAATTAGCCGAAAATGTGCAATCATTTATTTTTCTTTGGAAAAAAAAGTCAACTTTCAAATAATTCACAAAATTTCATTTTCTATTTTTTTTACTTTAAAAAAACAGAATAGAAAAAAATGCTTACGTTTTGTTGTATCAATTACGAAATGAAATAAAATCGCATATTTTAGAGCCATTAAAAAGAAAAACAAAAATCAGTTCACCGTTACTTTGCTGTGTCGTCGTTTCTTTGATTTAAATTCTGCATCTGTTGCATTAGTAATAATAGTAGTAGTGGTAGCAGGTTCAGTAGTAGTTACAGTAATAATGCTTATTTTAAATTTCTTCTGTACAGTATGGCCAATACGATTAGCTGTCTTACTGAGGCATAAGCACATTATTTATCCTTTTCTTTTTTTATTTCTCTTTTTGTTCGTTTCAAAATTGAAATTTATGCAAATTTAATTTTGAATGCAACAAATTGGTAGAAAAGGAAGAATGAAGAAGGTAAATGAAGAAATGAGAATGAATGATTGAGGTGTATGTTTTATAAAATTGAAAATGACAAAAAAGAAACTCGGTCGATGAATGAATGAATGAATGAATGGTTTGGTTGGATGGATGGATGGTTTGTACGATGGAAAACCGATCAACAAAGTAATTAGGCCTGAAATATTAACAAATTTTTTTGAGAAGAGGAATATAAAGTAAGATGAAGAAAAAAAGATACCTGATAAGGTGCACGGTTTTGCTAAGAAAGAAAAAAACGAGTTAATGACTTTGATTGAGTTGAAAAAAAAAATTTTGCAGTAAAGAAAAAGACGAGAAATTTTTTCCTGAAAATATCGATTTGATTTTCTTTAGTAATTCTAATTGACAAATAATATTTATAAGAAAAAAAATGAATTTTTTTTTACAATTTTATGTAAGTAAATTTATATAAATTTTAAAATTCTCTTTACTGCCAGTTTCTCTCTTCTCCATCTTCTCTTTCACTTCATCCTTCCTCCCTTTTCATTATAATTTTTCTTATTACAATGAAAAACAATTCAAAAAATAAAATATCTTCGCAGTCTTACATCTGTCCACTTACTTCTTTCCATTTCTTACTTCTTTCTAAAAATAAAAATGAATATAAAATTGAAATTTTAAATTAAAGGAACACAATCGATTTTATTGCATTTATTAATGCTTCATTATCCCTAAGATTTTCTTGCAATAAATGTATCTTTTAATTTAAATTCATGAGTTCACGAACTACATTTAATAACTTTTTGTTAATTTTATTCCAGTTAGAAATTGAATTTTTATATAATGTTGTTATTTTAAAGAATTGTTCGAACAAAAAACTATCTGAAACCGTTTCTGAGCAAATTTTATCATTTGCTTTTTTTGAATATCAAAATAAAATAATGAAAATTTTTTAGTTTAATTTATAAGTATTAAATTATTGTTAGAAAAAAATTAGATTTTAATCGTATTTCACCAAAATGACAAATTTCATGATGAACTGCTTAGTTACCTTTGAAAACATTAAATAACAGGTAATTTGAAGAAGCAAATAAACAAAAAAAAGAGAAAAATTACAAATTATATCAATTCATGATTGAAAATCATTTAAAATCAATATTTTTTCTATTTTCTTTCATTAACTTGTAATTGGGAAAAGAAACTTAATTTTTCTTTCATCCTTTTCAAATTCAAAATTTACTTCACGAAAAGAAAATTAAAAAATAACTACTGTTATTTTCTTTCAATTTCCAATTTTAATTTATAAAATTCATCGTTTTTTTAATATACTATATTTACAACAATAATTTAAAGGAATAAAATATAATCACTATATATTACAATGTTTCTCGAATTATTAAAGTTCACTTCCTTCTCTAAAAATATCTCATGCTATGCAATATAAACGATGGATAATTTCTGACAAATAAATGATGAGTAATTTTTGGCGGACAAGTGATGAATAACTTAAGATTTTTCGAAATGGTATTAAAAAGTATTTTTGTACCTAATAACAAGGATATTTAATTGTTTAATGTGGCATCGGTTTAAAGCAAATAATTTGTTTAAAATAGTTTAAGCAGAGTTGAGTTTCCACTTCAGAAAGGTGAAATTTGTGATAAATCACTAAGTTTCCGCAACTTTTTTAAACTAGAATATTTAAAAATGTTATCAATATATTTCGTTACAATAGATTTCATCAGAAGAAAATTTTTTGTCTTATAGCAATTACATGTAAATATTAGCATCGTTCAAAATTAATTCAATTTTGTTAAATTCTCACTGTTCTTACTCTGCTCATCATGCTAATTTGTTTCATTTAACCATTGGTGACATTGATTCATATATATAATTGGCATCGTTGACGGGTCGAAATTCAGTGTGTAATTCTTTAACTTTCTCTATCATTCAATAATCGGTAAATTCAGAAAATTGATTGATAACCGGCTAACTTAAAAAGCAAAAAGTAAGCCAAAAATTGAATAATTCTCAAATCCCAAGCAAAACAATTCATCAAAAGTCATATTACTTTCTGAATATTCTCTTGTTTACTTACTCATTTATGTGTTTGTCTACTCGTATGCTCATTTGTTTACTTGTTTTTAGTTTTATATAATAAATGAAGAAAAAACGATAAAATTGATAAAATCAAAAAAAAAAAGAAAGCATAAAACGTAAAACGATGCATTACCTTAATTTATTACAATTTTTGCGCAAACTTTCCTCGTTCTTTTTTTAATTCAAATTTTTTACAACAATTTGCGATGTCCTTTTTTTAAAAAATTAATTCGTTTAAATTTTTCAAAAAAATTCATTCCATATGTTTGCTTTTGTTTTTTGGTTTCAAATGTTCTAAACATTTGTTTGTTGATAAAAATTTGACAAAAATTAAAAGGGAGTTGTTTAAAGAAGAGGAAAAAGTGCATCGCAGAATTTTTGAAATGTAAAAAAAAACAGTGAAGTATCATTTTAGTATCATTCGTCATCAATCGCACAACTCAAAATGTGTTGACGAGAGTTTGATCGAATTGTTTTAGCAACTAAAATAGAAAAAGGTAGGAAATGAAGTTGTATTTTTTGCTCATTTTATAATTTTCAAAATATTATCTTTCAATTAAATTTTTTTTTTATTGTAAATGAAATTTTCTCATAATCTAGAAAGAAAATTTAACAATAAAAGCATACATTTTATTGCTAAATTTTTAAAAAAAAAGAGAAAAAATTGCCAAAATTAACTGCTTAAATAATTTATAAGTGCTATTAAGTAGTATTATAAAAAGGTAGTTTAATTTTATTTTGTATAATAAAATATTTTCAAAATTTCAAATTTCCAGTATCTATTTTAAAAAGCAAAATAAACAAATATATACCATATGCATAAAGATCACGAAAGTTGTTTACCAATATTTTCAAGATATTTGGGAAGGAAAATACTCTTTTTATTTATTCACTTTTCAAAGTGAAATAGTTTCATTTATTTCATTAATTTTCAAATATTTTCAATACAAAATATAAACACACATTTATCCGATGGTTTGGTAATTCAACGAAATAAATTTTACTAAAGTTTAAAAATATGAGCAATACCAATATCTGAAACCAAACAATACTTGTTAGAAATTTAATCATATAATATTTGGCCGATAATTATTTAGGCATCATTTCGATTAATTAATTGATTATATTAATTAATATAACTGTTCGGAATAAAGCTCGAATAAGTATTAGCCAATTTCAAAATAATAAATGAAATCTTTTCAAAAATATTGATCACTTTCATAAATATTCATTTAATTTAAAGCATAACTCAACTCAATATCTTATTTTTTTACTATGATGAAAGGATTAGGATATCTTAAAGAATAAATCTAAATTAAAATTTTAAACACCTTAAGTTATTCAATTATAAAAACTCTCTATATTTTCTGATTTCAATAAATCTATATAATAACACTAATGATGATATGAATAATTCACTATAATTGAAAATAATTCATTCTAATTAATAGTAAAATACAAAAATACCACAAAAGAAAATATTCTATACCTCAATGGTATATTTAAATAACGAATATTTGATCATCATCTGTTACTTCGACGTTGTTACCTGTTGACGTACGGTTTTTAATTCAATTCCATCCACTCCTTACTTTTTTTTTAAAATTTGATCCAATAAATGATCCGAAATTTATTGATGTTTGAACAGTAAGAAGCAGTAAAACAAATGGAAGTTTGTTCCAAAATTTCTTCCGCTGACAAATAATTCAAAAAATTGTTGAGATAGGGTAAATTTTTCATTTTTTAAAGCGATTGGTACAATTGTACTCTTTTTTTTCATTAATACTTGAAAAAGAGAGAGAGAAAGAGAAAGGGAAGAGAAAGGAGAAGGAGGGTGTAATGGAATGAAAAAAAGTTGCAAATTATTTACGATGAATGAAATCGAAAAAGAATTTAGCAAATCGTTTGCGGTATGTAAAGTAAATATTCGGAATAAATGAGTATTATTATTTACGCATACTTATGCTAAGTTTATTTTTAATCTTAGCTATGACTTTTTTTTGTCCACTTTATCAACAGTTAATTTTTTTATTTTTGCCTATTTTTTTTTTGTTTTAATTCGGAAATTCTTGAAAGTGATGATTAATGAAACAAATTGGTTACAGTTTTGTCTTTCGCACTGTATGTGAAGAAAATTTGACCAGTTTTGTTGAATTGAGAAAAAAAATTAACAAGAAAAAAGAAAGAAAAAATTTTGCAGCCACAATTCTTTTTAAAATTTTGTCGTTATTTTAGAGCGGTATGAAAAAGATGTGGTCAGAAAAATATTATTCCGGAAAAATTTATTGCGGCGAAATGAATTCTTCCGGAATAGATGAGGACATTTCATGTTTTCGTTTCATTTCCTGTATTACATATGTTATCATAAGTTCCCTTTTGTATCTCTTATTTCTTATTATTACTTTCAAATTTGATCCTTCAATCGGTTTTTTTCTTCTGTTCGAGAAATATTCTAGTCCAGTCTGTTAGTTAGCCTAGTCAACAATTTGGCCTAGTTTAGTTGTAATCTAAACTGCCCTAATAGTAAAGTTCCTAAAGAGTGATCCGATTTGATATGTTAATATAAAAAGCAGTAAAAAATGAAGATATATCATATATCACTGGTATAAAGTTTTAAGTAAACTTAGAAATAGTCAGAAATAATAAAAATAAAATCAGATGGTTTATATAGTCGGAAATCTGATTAGATAGATTAATCAGAATCGATTAGATTTTCGAGATTAACCAGAATCTGATTAGATAGATTAATCAGAAGATTAGATAGATGAAAGATTAATAATGTCAAATAAAAAAATACTTTTCTTATCAAATAAAAATAATAATGCTTAATCATTGTTTTTCATACTTTAATAAATTATTAATTTAAATGATTACAGGTTAAATCTCTATCTGCTTGATTAGAGTTGATTTATTTTTGATTTAATTTAATACTTTGATCTGGTGCCTTTCATTTAATTTTTATTTTGAATATTTATTTAATTTGATGACTTAAGAGGAAACTTTTTTTTTTCATTGAAAAAAAAGAAAAGACTGGCATTATTTGGAATGAATTGGACAAAATAACCCAATTTTTAAGTAATTAATTGATCGACTTATAAATTTGAAATTCGTCTTACAAAATGGCCAAAAAAAAATGAAAGTACTTTTCATCCAATGAAAAAATTATAGATGAAAGAAAATGCATATATCTTGAAGTTTCAACTTACTATTGTGTTGCTGCTTTTTATGCGGCTTTTCAAGTTAAATGAAGATTAAAAGAAATTAAAACTTCGCCTGATTAGCTACTAATTATCATTATTCATGATATTCCATTATGCTTAATTTCTTCCCCCATCCATAATTAAAAATACAATTGACATAAATTTGAAGGGAATTTTAACATCCGAATATTGAAATAACAAATGATAATTATAAAAAACAAGAAAAATTTACAAACATTAAATTAAAACCAAATGAAATTAACTTACCACGATTGTGTCCTCAGCAAATTTTGAATCACTTGCAACTTTCCTGCTTGCAGCAGTTGTTTCGGTGGTGATCGTTGAATCACCGGGTTGATGAATTGCTGTTGACGGATTGCTATTGTATGAGGTAATTCTCACCGGTAGACTATAATCATATCAATAATTTGTAATATTATTAATTACTGAGAATAAACTTTAAATACGCAACTACTTTATTTCAATTATAAGTACATAGCATAACTTAGTTTAAATAAGTTTAAAAGGAAAATTTTAATTTATCGCAAATTACTATATTTAAATTTGAATTAAGAAATTTTCCAATTAAATGATCCTAAAAAAGTTTCGGAAAAAGTTCGGTGGCCAAAAAAAAGTTATTTAAATAATTGAAAGAAAGTTTAAAAATAGACATTTCAAAAAATATATAAACATTATAATGAAACGATGACATCATGAAGGGTGAGATAATATCGTTTCATCATTTATCACTAAGTAATATTTACACTTTTTTTCATGGAAATATAAACTTCTGTTTATTTATAAAACGCTATACTGTAATTTCTTGAAAATATTATATTTAAAATGTTAGAATTCTTTAATGATTGCATTCAAAGATATCCCTGAAAGGTTACTGAGAGGTCATAAGTTTTATTTCCTCAAATATTTTCCTCTATCTAATTCCACCTTGTATGTATTCCAATTAAAGCAGTAAAAATTTTTATGATAACAGTTAAGTGATCATCAACACCATCCTACTCCTACTGTAACATACCTGGTAACTTTTTTACTTTCATATTTAATACTTCTCTTACAGTGTTATAATAGACATAGCTATCTACTGTACTTTACAGTACTCGAAGCCATCTACCGTATTTTTCCATTTATCTACCAATAAATGTTGCATTTAGCATTGTGCATTTCTCAAAAAAAAACATTCGGTACTTCAAGAAAATCTCAAAGCAAATCGATATGGTTTTTGGATATATATTCAACGAAAATATCTTAGCATTACATGACTTTTAGTTTTCAAATCTTTCAAAATTGGAAAATTCACTGGAAAATCGCGAGAATAAACACAAAAAACTGACTTAGTATGTTTACACATGTATAAATTAGCGTATATTTCAAATAAAAATTTTCTTTCTCCTCATATGCAAATTTTTATATTTATTATTGCTTTATTTTCTGGGTATTTATATTTTATATATTTGTATTTTATATATTTCCCATTTTGTTTAATATATTTCGAAATGCTTTCTTTTATTTTCATATTATTACTGTACACTCAGTAATTTTTTCCTAGCCATATTGCTTGGCATTGCTGCTGAATAGTTATTGTATACAAAACAGTAACTATCAAAAAATGAAAAAAATAAAAATAAAATTGATTTGAAAATTTTTGTTTAGTAAAATATGGCAGCAAATTTCATCAATTACGGGCAAAAAAAGGGAAAGATAAAGCAGTAATTGTATTTTTATATAAGTAATAATTGTATATGAATTTAAAAAAAATTGAATAAAAGATTTGTAAAATTTTTGATTTAAAAATGAAAAAGGAAAAAAGGAAAGCAAAAAGTATACATTTCGTTGTTGTGAAAACAAAGGAGACAATATTCAGTGAGGGAAAATAAGCATTTTGAAATGGCTAAGTTAATAAACAAATTGGTAATTAGTTAGATTAAATGTGCAAATAAATATGAGAATGTTATGAATTAGCATTTCAATTATTCAATTCATTATTTTAATTACTTCAAAAGCTTATGGATGTTATGACGATCATCATTAAATAAAAGAATTTTATAATCGCCCCTTTTTTGTAAATTAAATAATGAATTAACTAATTATGACGATGTTATAATCTATTATTAATTAGAGAAGCGCAAAGTGACAGCAAATGAAGAAATGAATTAAGATTTACAAAATTTATTGTAAAGATATTTTCAATTTTTTCTTCAACAATTAATTTCTTCATTAATTATCATTTTATAGGCTTGTATTACTTTATTATTTCTAAAACAGAGACATTAAATTATTTTTCGAAACAAATTGATGACTTAATGTGATTTTAATGTAATTATGTATATAAATTTCGAAAAAAATTATTGAAACTTTTTAATGCACCTATATTCAGGTGTGCCGGAATCGGAATAACGAGTTGTGGATACGGTTTCCTCGTATGTTGCTGATTCACTTCGATAATCGAATTCACCAGTTCGTTCGCTCGTTTGCACCGCCTGATTTGTACTGCTTATGATGCTTTCGTAATCACTGAGAAATTCGCGTAATGATCCAAATTTGGACCTGGAAATAAATTTATTTTATTTTTTACCAAATATTAAACTTTTTACAACGAAAAATTAGTATTTTCATATTTAATTTACCAATGCTTAAATTTACTAATGGTAGAAAAATTTGTCTCATAAAAATAAATTTCCTATTGAATAGCTTACCTGTTACCATAATTAATGATTTTTACTATACATCACACCGTATACCATAGGTACCATACCATAAACGGAGAAATTTTGAAATATTAACGTAATATAAATTTCGATAATGCTATTTCCAAGCATAGCAAGTTTTTCAAAATGAAAAAAATGATACCACAAAATACGCATCTAATGAAATAAATGGTTACTCTAATAACTATAATGAGTTTTTTTTTTAAATTTAAAAATCCTTCAAATATTAAAAATTTCATTGAAACTGATAACTTCGTGTATATATAATTCATACAACATTATATTTGAAATTAAAATTATGTATAATTCAAAAATATGTGTAATTCGTTATGCATAATTCAAAAATTTTTAAATTACAATTGCTGCCTGCTAAGGATATGATCAAAAATACGTAATAAAAGTAATCAAATTATCAATCGTGAAAATCACTGTGATCATTTTGATTGCTTATTGAAGTTAATATGAAATGTAATACTTATTTAATATAAACATAAATATAAATATTATCCGTTCTTATGATTGCATTAAAATACGAAAGCGCCGTTGGATGAATTGTAATTTCAATCCAACGATCTTTTTACTTAACAGAATATATTTAATGAGAAAATAATTTACCAGACATTATCATCTGTAATACTACTACCTTCCTCCTTATCATTTTCACCAACACTTCCATTGATATCATTGATATTGTCGCCATCATCGTACTTATTTGAAACTATGAAGTCATTCAAATATGTACTAAACGATCGATGAATTTCAACTGATAATCGAAGACCCATTTTTTCGTTTTGCTTTTTTTTTTTTAAATCATCGTCTTATGTTTATCGCCATAACAATATCATTCATTAAATAGCAAATTTAAGTATCGATTACAGAGTAATCTAATTGATTTCAATAAGTGATAGATGAAATTTTTTGATCTTCAATAGTGGATGCAATAAACAGATATTATCAAATTTTAGAATGGAATAATTTCGAGAAGAATTTGCATTCGATTAAACTTAGCAGAATAAAATTTCTGAATAGCTACGATAACAGAGAGGAAAAATGGTGTCAAATAACAGTTAGAAAATGCAAAAATATCATCAATGAACCAGTAAGAAGGAGCAGAAGCGGTTGTTAGAAAAACTTTTTCATATTTTACATTTTAATTTATGATTAAAATGAAATGGAAAAAGATGAATGATAGATCAATCAGGATGTTATATGATTGGAGTGATCGATTACTAATGCAAATGCAATAATGATTCATTTACTCTTCTTTTCATCATTTTTCACTAATTCTATTTTTTCATTCTTGTTCTCTTTTCTTAAATTACTTCATAAAAATTTATGTCCCTTAAAGTTTAATGAACTATCATATTAGTGATTAATATTTAGATTATTGTCATGAATTAATCGAGCATTTTATTCCATTCTATTATTAATTATTACATGATTTTAAAAAAACAAAATTATCAATACTTGCAAAGATTTAAAATTTAAATCATGCAAAAATCAATTATTAATTATATATCCATCTGAAATTTTTGAGAATGAATCAACAAAATTTCAACATCCAAACAAATTTAAAAATTTCATTGAAATTTTGTTATGGCTAAAAGTAATTTAATGTATTCAAGCACATACAAATTTTTTTGGCTCGCTATTGTCTTGGCAAATTATGAACTTTATCGTGCAAAATGGGTATGGAAATAAAAAAGGACATCGCAGCATTTTAATTTATTACAACAATGACCTTTTCACAAATTCACTTTAAAAATCTTTTATTACAAAATTTCGATATTTTCCTTAACCTATCGATAACTGTAGCCCTTTCTGTAGGTTTAGCAAAAAATCAATGTAAAATTGCATTTTTCAAAAGTTCACTTGGCAGTGTACTGAAATGTAAAATGAACTTCGTTCGTTTACTTTTGGTTCATCATCTAAAGTTAGATATATGATAATCAAAAACGAAATTTTTTCATAAAATTGAGCTTACTTTGAAAAATTTTTGAAAGGTGAAATGAATTATTTCGATTAATTTTAATTCAAGTTTCACTATTAATTCAATATTTCTAACTCTCCATGTGTAATATAAAATATAGGCGCATCGAGTATAAATACGGAGGAAATTAATTAATATGCAGGAATAAATTAACTTAAATGAATTTCAAGTTGTGTTAATTTTGCTGTTAGTATTGTTTTCATATTACTAAAGGACAACATAATTTAGTACTAATAGACTTAATATACTTATTATTATTTAACCTTTAATCCAAAATCAGTTGCCCTAAAAAAAAGTTCACAGGAAATAACATAGTAAAGAAGGTATTCGGTAAAGTGAATTATATTAATTCATAAAGGAAAAGAATACTAATAAATATAATTCAAATTATTCTAAGTAGATTAACTTAAGAGATTACTAAGTAAAATGGTTCGTTTTAAACTATTCCCTTATGATTTCTCCTTTTTGTTCCTGTTTTTCGAAATTTTTTCAAGGATTTGATAAAATGATATGTATTTACAGATAGTTGTTCCTATCCGGCCAATTAAAAGAAAAGCGTTTTTTTTTTTTTTTAATTCGAGTAAAACATCAAAAGAGAAGAGAATTTTGCAATGTGAAGCTTTAAATGCGCTTATCTGTGCAATCCTAATTTTTCTCAATCCTAATCATTTTATCTAAAATTGTATAAGATACTCTTTATTTATTACTGTAACAAAAGACATGATTACTTAACGAGTATAAAAGATTTAAGGTAAATTTAAAATATCTGGAGAGTTTAAAAGATTTTAGAAATATATGAAGCAGAAGATGATTGAATTACGAGAAACAATCATTAAATAATTCATTAAAATGAAAAGAAGCAAATTATTTCATTTTTTTTTATTAAAACAGAGGAATAAATAATTGGCAAATAATAATTCCATCAATCATTAGAAGATAAAAAACGTTTTTTTTTTTTACATTTTCACTCCAATATTATTTTCAAAATTTAAAAAAAAAAGAAGAAAAAGAAAGTCAATTTTGGGTCACCATAAAACGATTATACCGAGAAGGTAATTCGATAGCAAAAGTTCAAGAGAATTGAAAAATAAAATAGTTTGAATTATATCGGAAATAAATCATGTCAGTTTTGATATAACTCAAAATATAATATTGAATAATAGAGATACGATAAAAATATCGAAATTTCATTTCCTTTTTTAATCAAATTATTTAATTGCTAGCGAAATGTAAATTCGAAATTTTGATTTTTTATGAGAGAAAAAATATGGTAGGAAAGCGTCAGAATTGGATTACATTTAACAAATAGAATAAAGTTTGTTTTCATTCCTCTTTATTAAAAATATAACTAATGGTCTGTTAATGAAAGCACTAAAAAAGTTAACTTTTCCTTCTTATTTCTTCTAAAATTTTCACTTTCCCTTTAAACTCGTCTACTGTCTATCACCTAAGAATTTCAACATTTTTTAAAAGTGAACATTTTGAATAATAGCAAATAATGCGATATTTTCAAAATTGTTTAAAAATAACTGAACATTTCTTTAGAATAAATTTGAAAAGGTTATTTTTCTGGCCTGCAGGTAGAATTATGATTTGAAATCAATCTCTGATGTGTTGCAAAATTTAAATTATTGATTGGATGAGCAGGTGAGAGAGAAAGAGGGAGAAAGAGAGAGAAAGAAGAGGAAATTGAAAATAAATCAAAACTGGCTTAATTCGGAGGACAAATAATACTTTTGCTCTGGAATAAACAAAACTTCATGCATATGAGATAAATATTTACATGTCCATTTTGTTCTATATCTCTTTGATATTAACTATAAATTATGTTTTTTTTTTTGGTTTTTCTATACCTTCTTTTCTAATAAAAAAACATAGTAAAAAAAACTTGAAAAATAATTTAAAATTTTTCATTTCTTTTTTTTTTGCATTGACTACAGCGATCAAATATTGTAATCAAATGAATAGGTAATCTATTTAAGTGTATTATCGCTCGGTACAATTGAAGTATTAATTTTATATTGGAATGGGAGCAAAATTAGCATAATAAATTATCGATAATACATTATTAATACTTTTTTGTAGAAATTAATGTGAAAATTTAGATGTTATATTTCTGTCTGACCGGTTTCTTCAATCATGAAATTATTTATTGTCACTTTATTGTTAAGTCTAACTTTCATACTTACCGCTATCTGCATAAATGTTTTATATATAAATACTTGTCATGTGAGCGCATAATAGATATATATATATAATTATTTTACAGCATATTTTATTGCTTTATTTGTTATTATTGTCATCACAATTGTTACCATTTTTGTTATCATTGCTATTTTCGATAATATTACCATTATTACTGCTATTATTATTGTTATTATCATTATTATTAATTATAATTATTAATAGTGTTCATATCATATCGTTTACAAATATTTGACAATTTAATGAAAACGATTTAATGAAATTTACACATATTATGATTTAATATATATTATGATTTAAAAAGTATGATTTAATAAATGAATTTTTTAGTGTTACTCGATACAACATAAAAGTAGCGTGATTACGTTTAAATTATATGTATCATCACATATATATGTTTTTTGTTTATGGTAAATTTATAGCATTTATCGATATGTATTATCGATTTTAAAAGTCATTATTATCACAATTGCATTTTAATCCTACCATAGCAAATCCATAAAATTAATTTATCATTTTTTTCATATGCAAATTTTGACCAACCTCACTTCTGTCCTTTTTTCATCACTGTCCATTATATTTCCATAACCCTCATTAATTGGATATCCTGCACGCTCTCCACCAGTGGATGAAATCCATTCTGACTTCTGACGCTCATATTCCCGTTGATGCTCTTCACGATGCTCACGGTAACGCTCACGTAATTCTTTCCGATGCAATTGCTCACCGATCACTTCCGGTTCATATTGTACCTCAACTGACCTTCCCTGCAAGTTAAAAAAAAAAAGAAAAATGAAAATTACCAACAGTCTAATTTAGTTAGTAATTCAATTTCTGCGAATATATTTGTTCTAAAATATATTGTTTAAATTCGATATTAAATTGATTTTTTTCATAAGTCCTTAAATTTATTTCGAATTCTTCAAAATTAAAATTTTCAAAAAAAAGTTATATGAAGAGTGAAAAAGATATTATAACCGACGTAGTGTGAAGGAATAGCAGAATGATCAAGCATTGTTTCAACAGCCATTGAGATCTAAAATATTAATTCAAATTAACTCTCATATATTACTTTCATACATTAAATTATTACAAAAACATTTTTTTTTACGCTGTGACTATTAATAGAAATAATTGAACAACATAGGTTAATTCGAAGTTTTTAAGACAATTTATATTTCCCGAAGTTTTTGCTGCGATTGCAATTTTGTTTCAAAATTTGTTCGATTTCATTGCACATAATGTGCAATTAGAGACAATAATGTTCCTACATATCATTTAATTTGAACAGTAATACTTCAAATCAATTTCATATTTCCGAACTCACTCCCAGAAAAAAAAATTTTCTTTTCAATTTGTCAAAATTCTTTGATTGGAGAAGTGAAGTGAGCAATAAAAATAAAAATTTTACGTCATATTTTGGAACTCAAATTCTATAAAAAATACATTCATATTTGTATAATAATGACGTAGGTGAATTCAAATACTAAATGAGTAAAATGTATTTTAATTATTAAAGTAATTAGAATATTACCATATTCATCATGCGGGAAAAGAAAAAGGAAAAGCTGAAGCAAATGTTTCATGTAATTCATATAAAATATTTAGATTAATAAATGAACAATCACTTTTTCATTTTTCCAACATCTAATTATTTTACTAATAAGGCCTGCAATTTTTGTGTCCCATTAAATGATTAATAAATTAGTAAGTTTTATGAAATAATCAAAATAACAAACAGACAAAAGAAGCCATACTAAATTGAAATCAATAATAAGCATTAAATAAAATTTTTTGACTCTTAATCATCTTAAATGGCATTAATTTTTATAACAATAATCTTCTTAATCAATTCCTATAACTGTTAGCAAAGTATTAACTGCTAAAATTTATAAATCTTACTTGAAATAATTTTCATTCCTCAAAATAAATACTGAAAGGAAATAAAGGAAGGAAAAAAGAAAGAAAGAAACAAAAATTTAACACAGAGAAGAAAATTTTTAATTGGGAAACTTAAAACGGTGTTATTTTAATACCAAATCATATTGATAAACCTCGACTTGCATATATCTCCCGTTGTTGTTAAGATCATTTATGGAACTATCACAGCCCTGTCGTACCTGAAATTATTTACAAAATTAATTAATTAACTTCATCACAACCTCATCACGCACACTAATTTTTTATTTCCATAAAAAATTAAAATTTCTCAAACTTTAAATGTCTTAAGGATTGATTTGAAATTCTTAAATTAGAGAGCTTTAACAATTTTAAACTCGAAAAAAAAAACATTTCGTTTTCATAAGGGACTTATGCTGCTAAAATTAAATAAAGTGATTGAAACTCAAATTTGCTATCAAAAAAAAAATATATACCAAAATAATTTTACAAAAAAAAAATTATAAATTGAAAAAGGTTTTAATTTTTTTTCATGCTTTTGGATTTTGGATTTAAAAAAAGCAAAAATAATAAGCATATATTAGAATGGAGGGAAAAAATTGAAAATAAATAAATTCATAGTAAAATTTCAAAACTGGAATTTTATTATTCCAAAAATGAATAGATGAAAGCATTAAATAAATGATGCCAACGTTGCCATTGTTATTATTGTTAATCGAACATTTACACTTTTCCTAGTTTATTTAGGTTACTAATATTTTGCAGTAATATAATTAAATTTTAATTTCTAAAGTTGTTGCACCGAATTATTTATTTCTTTTTAATTTTTTAGCACTTAAAAACTCAAAACTTTTTTTTTGATAGCTAAAATTGATATTTTAAAAAAAATTACGCAAAATACGGAAAATGCAGGAATTTAAAAATTTTAAAATCTCCATTTATGGACATTAACATTTAGCATAACGATTTATTGAATGGGGATTTGAAGGAAGAAAAAAATGAAGACTAACTTCAGTTCGTTCAACTACCATACGATTACGACTTCGAGATCGTCGTTCTTGCGACAATGGTGTTAAATTTGTTAATGATTCCGATTCTGTCCAATGTGGCATCGTTCGATCTAAATAAAAAGAATGGAAAAAAAAAATTTAGTCGCTATTTTCATAATTTCAAAATTTATGTAATAATTTGAACTGATACTGTGTCATAACTATTTATTAACGACTGATTGATGGCTATAATTCGCCCAATAGGACAGATGTCGCAAAATTGTCATTTTTTTAAAATTAAAATGAAAAAAATTCACAATTATTGAGGACGTTCTTTTTACTTTTTTTCAATATAATGAAAAATGAAGCTTAATTGCAATAAAAAGAAAACAAATGATGAAGAAGAAAAGAAAAACAAAGGAAATGGAACAATAGCTTTAGGATGAAATTAATAATTGAGTTCACGTATGATAATGAAATATTTGCGCAATTAGAATGCAATGATTAATTTGATAGTAAAACTTTGTTCGAAAACTATAAATTTTGATTTAAAAATTAAAAAATCAGTGAATTATAGACTGTTAGCAGTTTTGTGGTTTTTTTTCATAAAAATTTCCGAAATTATAATTTAATTTTTTTTTTTTTGAAAAAAAGTGTTGTAAACTGTATAACATTAAGCAGCCTCAATCAGTCTTTTTCACGAAATAAAAAAAAAAATTAAACTTTCAGAAATGACATCATATTTTTACTTGAGTTCGTCGTTTACTCGATTGCGAGCGATATGAATTCCAATACCAATAATTCAAGGAAAAATGATTTAAGAAAGAATTTAGCAACATTTTAGCAATCGTAAGCAATAGCAACAACAACACATCAGTAGCGCTTCAACAAAAGAGGGAAGAAAAGGGCGAAAGAAAAAAAGAACGGAGAAAGTATGCGTATAAAATGGTCATGAAAAGTTGCTTTTCATAAGCATTTCATACTCATACTGAATTGTATAAATTGCATTTATTTCTTTCGTTTTCTTTTTCCTCTCTTTCCACTTTTTGAAAATTCTCTTTTCCGAGAGTTTTCTTCTCCCCCTAAACTATTCATCGATGGATGAATCATTCATTTACAGATCAACTGAAATTGAAAAAAGCGAATAAAATGAAGCAAGCATATGACAAAGATTAAAAATAGTAGTAATAGAAATTTTTTTTTTCTATTTTTGCAAAATGCTTTATCTTCTTTGTATCAATTTACCGTTGCAAAATTTTTCAATCTAATTGAAAGCTTACAAATGAATGATAAAAAATATTCGGTAAAAGCTTTTTTTTTTTCAAAATTTTCTCATTTAATCAAAATTTAAAAATTGCAAAATCTTTTCTTTTTCAAAATAAAACAAATGACAGAAAAATTGTTCCGTTATTTTTTTTTTTTGTTCCGATTTGATTAATAGTTTATAATTTATGAACGATATTTTTTCCTTTACGAATTATCGCTGTGATAATAAATGTTTTGAAAAAATAGGAGTTGTTGAGTTTTTTTTTTTTCTTTAGACCATAATTAAGAAGCAAATAACAGCAGGTCGATATGAATAAACATTTGATGTGAAATTTAGAAATTGATTTTTTTCTAATATTGAAATTACCATAAAAGATAGGAAGGTTAGAGAAATGCATTGAAAATCATCAGAAAATTATTCAAATTAAACGAAATTGGCAGTGTCAGTAAAGAATTATAAATGGTAATTTTCCTTCATCAAAATCTCAACGTATTATTCTTCGAGAACTCGCAATGAGCATTTGTTATTTGATGATATCCGTATGGACCGAACTGATCCTCGCAATATTTACTGTTCAAATTACAATTTCACTCTCTCCTCCCTCACCTCTCTTCCGCTTTTAATTTTGTCTGATTATTATCAAAAATATTTGCCTTAGTTAAATTTTACCAGTCAGAAATAGTAACTATAAAAATTTCTCAAATTATTTCTATCCTTTAAATATTTTGATACGATATCTAAAAGTGGAATTTTACAGCTGCATGTTCTTTTTTTTTTTAATTGCTTTTGAAAATCCTAAAATGATCGTTATTTAAAATTATTTTCAACATATGCATTTGAAATTAAAAACTTATTAAATGTAATTCAAAAGAGAAAGGGAAAAAAAGCAGAAAAAAATGCCAATAATGAGTACTTTGATGAAATTTTAAGAAAAATAATGAGTTTGGCATCTTTTTGACAAATAATTAGAAATTTTTTTTTTTTGGATTTTATTGCGAAATAAGAAAAGTGAGAGAAATGATGCAAGAAATCATTTATTATAATTACTATAGAAATAATTTTGTTTAAATTTATTTTTTTCCGAGAATTGTTCGAAGTGTTGAAAGAAGGAGAAAAAGTTCCGTGAGATTTCAAGAATGAAAATAATAATTTTAATATTTTTTAGGAACTTTTATTTTTGATTAGCATTATCATATTAACACCACATGATTACGTTCATATGACGTAATGTTAATATGACGTGAGTTAATATGACGTTATGGTTAGTGTAATCAACATAGATTTTGATCTTCGATGAAAGGATGGATTTCGAAGTGACTTAATCCTTTTAGAAGTCAGGACAGTTCAGAATTAGACGAATGATGAAATAATATAAACTTTTATGAGCTTTCTTTCATACGGTTGCAGTAAATTTCTGGATTTTAGAAATTTGCATATCGCAAAAATGATGAGCCGGAATAATATGGCTTCTGATAAAAAGAAATGAATTCGTTTTTACTACAATATTTATTTTTTTTTTATTTCGCTTCTTCCGATTGAATACCGAACAGATTATTTGAACTCCTCGAAATTCCATTAAAATTGGAAGAAGAATTATGATTTGACCTCTTGGATTATTAAATACTGAGGAAAGAATAATGAACAAAAGATGTTACAGACAAATGAGCATCTGTTCGGAGAATATTTCAAAACATCAGAATCAATTCAAAAGAAAGAAGGTGACAGACTAAATAGTTTAAATTAATTAACCATAAAAATAATGCCTAATAGAAAGCGAAAAAAATTTGTAATCCGATTTTTGAAATGTCACAAAGGTTTACCGATTAATAAAATATAGCAATATCTGCTTAATTCAGTTTGAGCTAAGTTAATCAAATATAGCATTTTCATGTAATGAAATTATTGCTAGAATTGAGTAATTGATTAACGTTAGAAATTACAAACGATATTACCTGTTTATATGTCAATTTGAACAGAATGATTGATATTGCATATGGGAAGAGTAGAGAAGAGAAGAGTTAAAATTTCAAAAATAATGAAAAAGGCAAAACGAAAGATAAATGATAGTAATAGCAATCATAATCACAACAATAATAGAAATAATAATACTAATAGTTATAATTATTATTGTTAGTAGTAATAATTATTCTCATTGTTTGTAAATAATAACATTAACTATCATTATAATTAGTAATTAATAATAATGATTTTTTCGCAATAAAATGACAAGGAAACTGAAAGAATTTTAAATAGACGTGAGGTAAATAAAATTAATAATCAATTTTCCGCACAGTAGGATGTTATTGACTTATTTCCTTATCATATCAAAGCTATCTTCTCTTATCAGTAAATTTATATGCGGTTAGTTAGTTGGCATCAGTAATTCCGTTATTCCACCCATGAAAATTTTAATGACTTTCTTCGAATAGAAATCATAAAATTAGCCTCTTTTTTGAAGAATTTTTTTCTCCAAATTTATATTTTAGGCACTTTGTTATCTTTGCTAACAATAATAGCAAATTATTCATTGATATGGTTTTATGAAATTATGACACATCGCGTTGAAACTGTTGTATTTTTGTTAGTAATAATCGTCAAAATTTCGTCAATGCTAACCATCAAACAAACAATTCGATTGCAAACTTATCTATTAGAATGAATTATCAGATGAATGTAACGTTTGAATTAATTTTCACAAATTGAAAAAAATAGAATGAAATGATAGTAATTAACGGATGAAAATATTTTGTGATAAAAAATATCATTCTTTGAAACACAAAAATTATTCTAAATATTAAAAATCATCGTCATAGAAAAACAGAAAAGTTGAAAAAGAGTTAAAACTATTGAATTAGAATGTTGCGAATTTTAATAGAATTAAAATACAAGAAATATTTTATCAAAGAATAATCCTTCCGCAAATAATATTGTAATCTTATGCTATTGTTAACTTTTCAAATATTTCAATATTTCTTTTTTTTTTGCATAATTTGCAATATTCATTAGTTCATGTATACTGAATCAAATTTTCCGATGTTTTAAAAATAGGACATCTAAAAACGATATATTTTAGCGATAGCATCATTAAAATTCCTGCTAATAATACAATTAAATGAGGGAAAACAATAGAAATAATAATGTAATATTTCCTGATGCAATTTAGAATTTTTCGAAAATTTCTGCGAAGGGACAAGATTTTAAGGACGAAAAAGAAAAAATGGATCGGATGGATTTGCCGAGTAACGATTACGATAGAAATTTTTTTTTTTTTTTTTACTTTAGCAATATTATGCCAATGAAAAAGTACGAAAGAAAATTTGCGCAATTTTTCGTTATTCCAAAGAAAGTAAGCTGTTAATTGCAATATTAATAGATCGGAGTAAATGACCGATTTCGTTCATTCGGAATGAATAATTATAAAATTGTGAGTTTTTTTTTTTTTTTCAATCATATTTGCTGTCAAAATTTTTGATGAAAAAAAATGGTTAGACTTAGTATAAATTTCAAATATAACACGGTCGATTCAGTAAGCAAAATCAAAATATGGCTGAGAAAGACAAAAAAAAAAGGATTTAATCATCAAAAGTTTAAAATCATTTTGAAATGTTAGATAAATGCAATTAAAGAAAGGATGAAAAGACGAAAAAAAAAACATTTAACATTTGTTGGAAAAAAAAATGAAAAAACATTTGCATCCTGAAGTCATTTCCGGTTTAATGGTATGTATATAGAAAAACATTCTTTTTTTTCCAATTTTTCATTAATAGTTAAATCTTCACAAAAGGAAAAAAATTTCAAAATTTTTTATATTTTCCAGCAATTATCAAAGATTTAAATTCGATCCTTTGCTAAGACC